CAGCAGAACTGTCACAGCCCCCCCGCCGGATTACCTCCTGATACTCCGGCATATCCAATAATCCGGCACCACCTAGGTCCCAAAGGTGCCGGATTATCGGAAGTCTACTGTATTTTGAAATAACATGGTGCATGTCTACACAGCAAGCTCTCATTTCAAAATAATGTCGAGCTGGAAGATTTCTTACTCCTGTAACCTTCATTTCATGAGGAATAAGGGAAGTCTAAAGAAGTGTGTTCTTCCTTCAGCTTCCTGCTGTCTAGACAGCGCCAAAAGCCGAATTAAGCTATTTCGACACTGATGTAGCATAAGTTGTATATCTTAATTCAACTTTTGCCCTGCAGTGTAGACATATACTAGGAGACTCAATCCTGCTTCCCCTAAAATCAATGATAGTTTTGCTATTGATATCAATGGGAAAAAGATGGGGACCTAGATTATTATGACATTAGACCAGTTTCTAAATGAATTTTTTTTATGTAACCATTAGCCCTAAAACCAACATTTGTTGAGTCAGAATCTGACATGAAATAAAGTGTGTATTGTAATGCATGCAATAACCACAATGTTTCAAATGCCTTGAGAACATGCACAGCAGAAGAGAAGGAAGTAATTATTTCCAAACAGCTGGGATCTATTCTCCTTCTTTGGAGTCCAGTCACTCAATGTTCTTACTCACTTAACCTGTTTAATTTAATTCTGCTCCCACCGAAGACAGTGACAAACCTACCACGGACTCTAGTGTTGCTGAATGAGACACTATTTGAGTTTAGACTGATCATTTGTGTAAGGTGTCGGGCACTTGGTACGTCATATTGTAGTGATATTCTCTAACAGTTTGTCTATGGGTTTTTTTCCTCTTTGGTTCTCATCATAAGAACAAAATTATACATTTCCAAACAATGTTCAATTTTACAGCAAATGACATCAGAAAAAAAAGGGAAAAAAGAACTGGAATGAGCTGAACTACTTTCCAGATTCATAAGCAATAAGTATTTAGCACATCATTGTCTCCTCCGCACTCCATATGATATCAACGTAGGCGAAGAGTGAACATGAGCTATCTATAGAAAATAATTTCAGCTGTGAATTCTGCTGTACCTCCATTCTGCAGCTCTCTGTTAAAAGATTATATTTGTATAGCTTATTATGCCTTGGGTACCCACTCTGATGAACCCCATAATAAATCCTAGAAGTGTGTAGACATCAAAGTATTTGATGAGCTGCCAGCCTTGGGAAGTGTTTGCATTTCTAAGAGACCCCCCCCTCTCTTTTACTCATTAAGTTCTAGCCTTAAAGTGTTCTGTTTCTGGTTGCAAATGACTGCCCATAAAATTAAAAACTCTCTCTCACACAAAACCCTACAAACATACATGAAAATCCAGAAAATATTTAGATTTTTTTTAAAAGGCCTTAAAAATGAATTTGAAGTCCCAATCTAATCCGAACCAGAGTCTTGTTTTAACAAGTAATTCCTTGTAAACTTTGTATAAGTGCAAAAAATGGAAAACTGTGCCTGTCTTTGACCTTGTGTCGAAATATGGAATTTTCCTTACAGAGAAGCTGTTTGCAGTCTAATCACTCTTGCCTTTCACCTTGACAAAATCAAACTTGTTCCATTACCACTGAGGTGATGCCATCTGGCATGCAATTAGATGCCTGCTCTTGGCCAAGTTATTCCTGTATGTTATGGTCTGTGCCCATAATTCATCCCATTTTACTGCCCAGAAAAAAAATCACAATAGTATTCAAAACTTGGTTTTATTTACAAGTTTGAAACCTGTAATCAAGGTTTGAACAAAGACCCGACCTGCATGTGCCACTCCATTCCACACCCTAATGACATAAAAAGCTAAGCACAGGATTCTTTTAGCCCACTCCATTAGCCTCATTTACACAGACGTTCAAATTCACAATATTTTTCCCCTATTTTTTCCTTCTCTTTCCTTCCCCATCCCCTCTCTTTCTCTGCTATTTATTTGTACCCTGGACCCCTTACTCCACTCATCTGAAGAAGTGAGTTGTGCCCACGAAAGCTCATGATACCAATTACATTTTTTGTTAGTCTCTAAGGGTATGTCTACACACTTGCACCCTATTTCCAAACTAGGGATGCAAATGTAGGCATTCGAAATAGTCAGTGAAGCAGGGATTTAAATATCCTGTGCTTCCTTAGCAGGATCTCTCCGGCGCATTACTCCAATCAACAGCTGTTTTGAAAGTGAAAGTGCACGCCGGGATGTGTTAGTTCGAACCAAGCCCCTTGGTTTGAACTAATATTACTCCTCATTTTTTGACTATTTTGAATGCCTACATTTGCATCCCTAGTTTAAACTAGGGTGCAAGTGTAGACATACCCTAAGATGCTGCAGAGCTAACTATTCATGTTTTTTAAAGTTTTTTCAATTACAGACTGACATGGCTACCCTTCTGAGACTTTTAAAGTTACTCCCAATTACAAAAGGCCAGTCACTTACTCCAAGTCAGTTGCACTGGAGATCTTGCACTGAAGATGATGTTTGTAGCCAGTCCCTGTAATAAATTAACTAAATATTTATTGACTAAGAAAAAGAAATGAGAATTATTTACAAGGTTAAATCTGGTAAATACACATGCACACGCGAGTTACAGTCTTAGGTTCCAGAAAATAATAGAAGCAGCCTTAATATGCAAGCTCCATACATTGTTTAAGGATAACCCAGACTAAGCAGCTAGAATCTCTTATTTTATACTTTGAAATGTTGCCCTCCCAAAGTCCAAAGAGCATAGAGATAAAAATTTCTAACAAGAAGAAATTGTATCTCTCTCTCCCCAGAGTTCAAGTTGATGATTATAAGTTCTGAGGATGTTAAGGACTAGTCGACTATTCAATAAGCAAATGCTTATAGGATAGTCAGTCAACTAGTCGATCCACCCATAGATCCCCTCCACCTTGCTGCCTTTATCAGGTAGAGGTGGTGTTTCAACACCCAAGGCGGTGTTTCAAAGGGGCAGCTGCTGCATAGCTGATCCGCAGCTCAGCTGTGTGGCGGCTGCCCCTTTGAAATGCTGCCTCAGCATTTCAAAGGGGCAGCACCATGGAGCCCGGGGTCAGCTGGGGAGTCGATAATGAGTTGGCCACATGAGTGGCCCTCCTTCATCTCAATGGGCTGCAAGATTGTTCTAACCAAGATGGTCTCTTATGATAGGGTAGTTTTACTAACTGCCCCTTGCTCACATAGAATTTGCAGGGTGTGCCTGTTGAATCATAGCAGTGCTTTGATTGGATGCGGAGTGCATGGCTCTTATAGTTCTTGTGGTGTGTAATCAGCACACACTTCACTTCATGTGTCCTTGCTTTACATGCGCGTTACTTTAGTAATACCAGTAGGAAAAAAAAAAAACTATGCGTACTTCTTACTCTGACTCCTGCTCTCTTCTTTGCATTTTAATCCTCATTTTTTTTCTTTCTTTACCATTGTCTTCATATTCTTGAGATCTAATTCAAGGCCCAGACCTGCAAACATCACCAGGGTAGCATTTACTAAATAGTCAGCCTAAAGAACTCACGGTAGTAATCATTGCATCCTATTACAGAGGCAGGCACTTAAATTGTAAATGTTAGGGGCAGCACTCATGTCTTTAATTTCTGAAAAGTACTGGTTAAAATGATGGTTTATTATTATTATTAATAATAATAAATAATTAATAGGCAAACTGAAAAAAGATTATGTGACACGCTGGTTTATGTAACAACATAACTTCCTATGTGAACATACAGGCAAAAGTGTATGTTGGCTTAGTGTATTATATTAAGGATAAACATAGACTCACTGTGTATACAACCATTTACAGCTCTAACTTTCAGCCCTTACTCATCCAGGATTAGACCCTAAAGAGTTGCTGATGAAAGCTTGCTTGAAAGATCATTCAATAGTATTTTAGATCTTACTATTTTTGCTAAGTCACGCCATCAAGAAAAGCAACTTGACTTTTGTATCAAATCAACTCTGCTTGAAGGGTGTTTTCCCCCCCTCTTTGATTTAGATGGAGAAACTCCAATCATACTTCAGCCGACAAATGCAAATGAGAAAACTCAACTAATCGGAGATGGGCATCGCAGCTATCACACAGACTCATAAAGCAAGAGCAAGTACGGTCTGATTGCAGTATGTTCTCTAAGTAGGAATGTCACAAAGAGCGTTCAGAAAAAATAATTGGAAAGCACTGTAATTTTTTCCCCGTATTGGTATTTGATTTTTAAGTTAGACAAAGGAAGTTTGAAAGTCATTTCCTCTGGATGCAGACTCTTTAACTCATGGGGCCTTCAAAATGAACAGGCCCAATCTCTGTGTTCTTCGCTGAGTGCAGACAAAGCCTAAGATACTTAGTATTCCAGTTTACTTCTATAAGGCCCTATGTTGCCTGCACATAGGCAGCACATAATTACTTCCCTTACGCTATTGGGTCAAGTTCTATCCCCAGGTGTGCACATTCAACTGCAACTGATTTTTAGTGGGAGATGTATGTGCATATGGATAGAGCGCAGCCCACTGTATCTATATATGTTCACACACCAGTGTGTGCACGCATATGCACACATATATCTTTAGGTGTTATGTTCTACTCCTTTACACTGGTTTTATGCTGGTATAACACCAATAAAGCCAATATAAACCCACTGTTGGGGAATGAAGAGTCTGGTTCTATAAGGATATATATTACACATGCTACATAAATTATTTCCTAAATACACTTTTTCAAATTTAATTCAAGAATTTACTGTGAAAGGTGAAAATGCTAGTGACTGTTTCCTGTCTAGAATTAAATGTGAAAATGATCCTAGTTAAAAGTCAAGGTAAAAATTACACGTGGTATATAAAAATCATCTTAGAGGTCCTGCTTCTATGGAAATCAATGAGAATTTTACCACTGATTACTCTGTTAACAGCAAATCAGACCCAAAGGTAATAAACAAGGACTAAAGCCCAGTTTGGGTACGTGTACACTTCACACTTATTTCGAAACAAGCTATTCTGGAATACTTGTTCTGAAATAGCTTATTTCGAAACAGCACATCTATACTGCAGGGAAGCCTCAAAATTAGGCTAAGGCAGGCTTCCCTAATGTAGACATGCTATCTCAATTTAGAGCCCCAGGAGGGACTGGGGAGGAATAACTTAGAATGGCCCTGGTGAAGGGCTATTTTGTAATAGCAATAGTGGAGCATCTATACATGCCTTATTTCGAAATAGCTATTTCAGAATAGGTCTTATTCCTCGTAGAATGAAGTTTACAGATTTCAGAATAAGCTGTCTGTTATTTTGAAATTATTTCAAAATAATAGAATGGCTGTGTAGGCGCTTGCATTGTTATTTTGAAATAATGCTAGTTATCTTGAAATAACTGTGCAGTATAGACGCACCCTTTGGGAGTTAGGCTCCTAATATGGAAGATCTAGGCCAATGCACCTGATCCAAAGTCCACTGAAATCAGTGAAAGATTCCCAATGACTTCAATGGGTTTTAGCTCTTGGCTTAAATCCTGTAATGTTTAGTTCATTCTTAATGGGAAAAGGATGCCTGAGAAAGTATTTAGGCCCCAATCATGCACTGTGATCAACACAGACAACTGCTGCAAATGCAGGAAGCCCTACTGTCCTCATTGGGACTCTGTCTACAAGGATCACTATGCATATTTACATAATCAGAAGAGAAAAAAAAAAACACCCCAGTAACCATAAATATGGTCAATGGGATTTATCTCTGAAAGAATGAGGCTTTGCTAAAAGGACACTATGGCTATGTCTACATAACTGGGTTATTTTGAAATAAGTTATTTCGAAATAATAACTCCCAAAATAACTATTTTGGGATAAGTTTATTTCTCTTGAGTACATCTACACATCACCCTACACTTGAAATAAGATATGCAATTTGCACTATGCAAATTGCGCATCTTATTTCGATTGTATTTCAAAATAGCTTATTTCGAAATATGGCATGTCTACACAGTGCCAAATTTTGAAATAACGCACTATTTTAAGACATCTCTTATCCCTCATGGAACGAGCGTAACAGGGATGCTGGAATAGTCTACCCGTTATTTTGAAAAATATTTTGAAATAATGGGTGCGTTTAAAAGACATGGGGAAGCTATTTTGGGATACCTCCAGTGTCCCAAAATCGCCCTGCTGTCTAGACGTACCCCTTCACAAGCAGGAGTTATTATTTTGAAATAACAAGCACATTTATTTCAAAATAACAGGTTTGGTAGTGTGGACACTCGCCTTGTTATTTTGAAATAAGGGGAGTTACTTAAAAATAACACCCCAATGTAGACATGCCCTATTAGACTGATAAAAACAATGGTCAGCCATTGCCGAGGCAGATTTTCAGAGGTGTTGAGCATTTGCAGATCCTGTGAAGTCAGAAAGTCTGTTTATCTGAGAACATAATAAAAACTGAATTAAGATTTCCTGATTTGGTCCATAAATATGATTTTTTTTCTTTTGTTTGCTTTCTAGAAGGTGCACTAAGGTGGAAACAATGATGCCTATATGATTTGCTTCCATGTCAAGTCCAGTTGAATTACTATTAATTTTTGAAAGCATGCAGTTGCAAATATTTTTCTTTATGGTGTTGCATTTATTTGTATGAAAAATACTATGTATTTGAAATCTACCTTTGCTGTCAAACACTTGGAATAATAAAGACTCCTTATGTGTAAGAATTATAGCACTACCTTTATGTTTCTACCCTAAGAAAACATTGTTCTAAGTAACAGCCAAAATAACCAAGAAGATCTTGATCCATCCAAAATGTCTATGGTAGCTTTCCAAGCGGGCAAGTTCTAGAGGAACTTTGTTTTCCTTAGGGGAATGTCTATACTGCGGCGCTACTTTGGGATACTTCTGGTATCCTGAAATAGCTATTCCGCATCTTGACTGCAAATGATATTTTAAAATAATGGGTGCAAATGATATTTAGAAATAACAGGCACACTATTCCGATGTCCCTGTAAACCTCGTTCCATGTAGATTAAGGGACGTTTGGCGGTTTATTTTGAAATTTGGCACTGTGTTTTCTCATGAGCTATTATGCCTGGTCTACACCTAAAACTTTGGTGAACCTGGCTATGTTGCTCAGGGATGTGAAAAACATACATCCTTGGGAGACAGTTAGGGACATCTAAGCCCCAGTGTAGCTACATCTAGGTTGATGGAAGAATCCTAGCTACTGCCTCTTGACGGGATGAATTTACAACAGTGACAGAAAATCCTTTCTGTTGCTGCAGCAAGTGTAGTTGCAACACTGTAGCTATGCCACTTTACTTAGTTCAGATTACAATATACTCTTTCACTTTGGAAGATGAACCAGAAACTCAGTTCACAAGCTCCTCAGAACAAGACTGACAGCCACTGAACATCCTAAAGGAATGAACCAAAGAAATGGTTATCTGCAGAACTCTTAGTTTTTATGGTTAGGCATAACAAAAGGAGAATCCATCAGTATTACAGAGATAAGTAAACAGGGTGCATTATTATTTGTATTATGATAGCACAGTGTTGCATACCCAGACCATGCCCTGAAGAAAGCCTCAACCCTGCAAGCTATTTTGTGTAGTCAGACTGCTGCCTCTGCTGAAAGCTGTTACCTGACATATTAATTAACATATGTTGGCTAACTCCATGTTCAGAGACTAGTGCTGGTTACACTAGACTGTTAACATATTAGGGTAAAGTAATACTTTTGTTAACAACTTCTGAATCCTAATCTAGATACAAAAAAGTTTCCATCTAAGTATAGGAATTTGCCTGAAGCAATTTGCCTCATCGAGGATTATGATAACATTGCACAAAAACACTATGCCTTTTTTTCTTGTCAACAAATTATTATATTTTACTTTTCACATAGAGAATTAAGCACAAAATCAATTTTTTCATCACCCCCACTACCATTTCTTTTTTGAAGTAAATCCTATTGAAAGCAGAGTGGGACCCAAACAACTCACAGAATCCAAACTTCTGCACATCTTACAAAAGTCTGTATTGGACTAATAGAATAGTTGCAAATTACATCCACTATTCGATTAGTTGATTAATCTAAATTTAAGATTTCCACTACATGCATCTGACGAAGTGGGTCTTTGCCCACGAAAGCTTATGCTCCTACACTTCAGTTAGTCTATAAGGTGCCACAGGACTCCTCGTCGCTTTTGTATTGGGACTGAAGTTTGCAGTGGAAGGCCATTTGTAATTACAACAAATGAAAAACTCTCTCATTTTGATAAAATACTTTAAATTATTATCTATTTCCTATAACTTTGCACAAGCATTAGATATTTCATATTGTGGAACATGCAGTGCTCATTCCAACTTACTTGAGCCAGTATTGTAAGACCACCATCGTAAATAAATCAATGTCCAAATAAAAATTGACAGGAAAGAAAAAGAGCGTCTCCTTCGAGCCGGAATCGAACCAGCGACCTAAGGATTCCCGCAGTTCCTCTACAGTCCTCCGCTCTACCAGCTGAGCTATCGAAGGGACCTTATACTGCAGCTCCCCAGTAACATATTAGAATTGAGAGAGTTCCCGGATATTAGCGCATGCGCACATTCTTTTTGCCCGTGCTATGTTGCGCATGCGCCTGGTAGCCGCGGACACTGGCCGATGCGCCTGCTGAGTCTATCTGGGCCCCACCACAGAGCTGTTGCCGCCCTGCTCTGCCGGCTCGGGACTCCCGCCCCGCGGCCCCCTGCTGGGCGGGCGAGGCAGTCAGTCCAGTGCTGCGGAGCTGACCCCGTGGGGCGGGGAGGCCGTTGCTTGGTTCTGTAGAGGCCAGAGGACGCTGCGGGGGGGGGGAATTCCGCCTCTCCCTTGTGCGTCCCGAGCCTGGCCCCGCAGCGCAGCGCGTGCGAGACTCTTTCTTGTTCTGCGCGAGCACGCGGGGGGGGGGGGGGAGAATCTGTGCCTGTTTCTTCATAGTTTGCTATTAGTTGGGGGCCAGTGGCGCAATGGATAACGCGTCTGACTACGGATCAGAAGATTGTAGGTTCGACTCCTGCCTGGCTCGAACGTGTACGATTTTGTTTGCTTTGGTTTAAAAGAGCTAATCTGCCCTACACATGAAGGCATACTTACAGCCAGACATACGTAATGCCGCAACAGAGCAGCTGTCACCGTTCTGCCTGCATGCCCAACACTGCTGACAATTTAACACTGGCCTAACCTAGAAGATGGAATTATAAGAAAACTAAATTATGCAAATATTTTAACCCCATTTATAGTTAACCTTCTCAAACAATTACAAAAGTGCATTCTTTCAAACAGTTAAATTCAGGGATCCCACAATCAGCTGTAAAAGGTTAAAAATGTTAAAACCATATGAAATCCACCAAAAACAATCAGCTGCCTCTATGTGATTTATTTCTGTGAAATGTAAGAGAAAACTGGGCTTCTTTTACGTAGTAGTTAAATATTAACAGAGAAACTCAGCCTAACAGGATGAAAATTCGGAAGATGTATTGTTAAAAATAAAAGTCTCCATTTTCAAGGAGCAATGACATATTAAAGTTCATTCATTTACAAGAGGTGAGTTCAGGATTTCATTCTTTTTCAGCTAATTATGATATTTTTTTTAGGCCAGAGCCTCAGCCAAATACATTTAGTATAGATCCATTAATTGAATGACCTTTGATCTGACCTGTCATCTTCGATTAAACTATATCCTGAAATAATTAGATCTGGGAACCTAGAAACTGACATTCATGTGATAAATTATTTTCCATGAAGATGATTTGTTATTCGTTAGAAATACCAGAATATAATATTGTGAAGTTACTGGATTGTAAAGGGAGAAGCCAGATCATTGTTGCACCCATGGGGGGAGGGGGCAGTTCCCCGAAAGTCTGTACAAAGCGAGCCATGTGAGGTGTCACATGAAAGCTTATGTTCTACTGATTCTGTATATGCTATTCATGTACTTGTATAATATCTGCATGTGGAGTTATAATTATGTACTCTATGTTGATGCTGGAAGGTCCTCTGTCTGAGGCAGAACAATGGGCAAAGAATGCTTAGCCAATGGCTATGCTAATTAGCAGGGAGACAATGAAGCTCTAGGTGCCAATACGCACCTCAGGAATGTGACTGATACCTGCAAACCAGCCAGGACCGAAGAGCTGCCAGCATGGGACACTGGGTTAGGTTGTTGTACCATGTGACCTTCTCTGGCCAGGAAGATGCCAGGGGAGGTATATAAGTGCCATGTGGCACCCTCCATCTTGTCTTCAGTTTTGCTCCGAATCCCAGATGCAGCCTTGCAGGGAACGACGAGTTGGAAAGAACTGTGGACCCGTCCTGACATAGGATTTACACTAGAGACTTTTAAGCCAGCAGTTATAACATCTCTGCTATGAGCCTGCATCCAGAACTGGGTGATTCGATGCCTGTAACATATTATACTTTAACAACCTTACTCTCATGCTTTTCTTTCTTGTAGTAATAAACCTTTAAATTTTAGATTCTAAAGGATTGGCTCAGTATGGTCTTGTGGGTAAGATCCAGAGTGTAAATTGACCTGGGAACTGTGGCTGGTTTCTTGGGACTGGAAAACCCGTTCGGAGTAGGTGAGATTGGGTTCTATAACCCTTCCCCTGTTTGCAGGCTCGGGGCTGATTGAGACCTGCACACAGGAAGAGCTGGGGTATCTGAGGGTTTTTGCTTGTGAGGCTTCTGGCTGGCCAGGCTGGCAGCTGAAGTGCTCTGTGTGACTGGTTTGTGGCCTATTTGGGAAAGGCCTCCAGTCAGGGGTTGTAAGGAGCCCCGAGTGAGCAATTCGCCCTATGCGGACGCCCTTAGCTGTGCCCAGACCCAGCCCGGTCCGTCACAAATATATATTTACTAACCTGCAATTTGGATTTTCACTTCTAGACCTCCCCATTTATTATCTGTTCTTTGTTTTATGTTATGAAAACTACTGTAAGAGGTCTAGTTTATATACATTTATTTTGCAAAATATAAGTAAGGCTAAGATTTTGTCATAGTTATTTTTAGTAAAAGTCAGCGCTAGGTTATGGATTTCCGTGAATATTTTTTATTGTCTAGTGCCTCTGACCTGTCCCTGACTTTTATGCAAAATAACCATGACAAAATGCAGAGGGAGAAGCATTGCTAGTGCTCCCCAGCTCTGGGATACCCTATCACCAGAGAGCTGTAGGCACACTCATTGCCCATGGTGGCGGAGAACTCCAGGGTCCCCTCTGCCAACAGTGGCTGAGAGCTATGGGACCCCACTGCGGCCTGTTGAGAGCCCCAAAGCTGGAGGAGAAAATGTCAGAGTTTCCTGTAACTCATGGATTCCATGACCTGTGGCAAAATCTTAGCCACATTTATAAGATATGTTTAAGGCAGGGATGGGCAATAACTTTAGATGGGGCCACTTCACAAATTTTTGAAGTAGCCCCAGGCCACCCAGATGGGGCAGGACCTCAGGTGGAGGGTGCGGGACCAAGACACTTCCCGTGCTCCCCTGTCCACAGACCCTGATTTTAGCCTGGGACCAGGGGAGTGTGTGAAGTCTTTGCCCACCCCCCAGAGAACTGCAAGCCACACACCCCTTGAGGGTGGGAGAAAACCAATCAGGGCCTTGCAGCGCAGGCGCGTTCGAAGTCTTTGCCCTCTGCCCCCAACTTGCAAGGGGAGCACAGCTCCTAGACTGAACAGCCAGCTCTTCTGAACAGCTGGCAATTCACTCTAAGCGCTGAGTGCCCCTTGCAGGGCGGGAGGCGACTTTGCTCGCCCCCAGGCCAATCAGGGGCTCTAGGCATGGGAGTCTCTCACCCCTTGCCCCTACCCTGCAAGGGGTGCGTGGCACCTAGAGTGAACCGCTAGCTGTTCTGAACAAACAAGAGTTCACTCTAGGCACCGGGCACCCCTTGCGGGGTGGGAAGAGACTTTGTTTGCTTCCCCCGTCCCCAGGTCTTGATTGGGCTGGGAGCAGGAGAGCAGCAAGGCCTGCAGGCTGGATCAACCAGCTTGGCAGGACAGATTCAGCCTGTGGAGGCTCTCTTGCCCACCCCTGGTTTAAGGTATATGTGATATTTTAAGTAAGTTTACAAAAGAATGATTTTTGATCAAGACACTAACATAATTTAAATGATAAGAAATACTCAAAATACCACATATTTGTAGATTTAATAAATTTTTCCATACATTTTTACAATGAACAAGCCCCATTATTACTGATAAATGTTGCAGTTAAAGCTAGCACTCTACCATCTTTACATCAAGAATCAAGTCTTTTGTTTCTTCTACAAGTTTAATAAATTTCCTTTACAGAATTCTCACTCCAGAGTAAGCCTTGCTGAGATGGAAGAGAAGTCCACTTCATAGTTTGAAATGGCAGGCTTGCTATAGATTTGTGATTTACTGCATGTGCACACAATACCCATACATTCAGTTTATAATTTCTTAAATAATTTTTTTTATCAAATGTGCATGCTTTATTCACTCGGAACTTATTCTGCTTATATTTGAATATGCAATAGCTGTACTGTGAAAATGTAACTGGCAAGTGCAAAATACCAAATTTAAGTTAAAAAATGTGGGGGTTTTACAACAGGGCAATTAAAAGCAGAAAATATTTTACAGAAACAGAAAACTTCAGGTCAAACGCCAAGTTCAGATTTTTTAAGATTTTTATGGAAAGAAAATGGTAAAATACAATAAAAGTCAATTTTGCAAATTTAGCTATATCAGCATTTTCTCCAAAGCAAACTAATCAATGAATGAAATCTATGGACAAAAATAAATCAGAAGATTTTATTTAATAGAAAAGAACTCTCGAGCCAGGCAGGAGTCGAACCTACAATCTTCTGATCCGTAGTCAGACGCGTTATCCATTGCGCCACTGGCCCTAGACATAGCTCCTCTTTTTTGAATAGTAGGACATACAGTATAGTACCGCCTCAAATTATTCTTAATGTGATTTTGAGTAACAATATACAGAGGCCTAATCTACATTACAAACTTACATCGGTATTACTAGATCACTCCTGAGCAAATACAGTTATACCAGCCTAATTCCCAGCATAAACAGTGTTATGTCAATAGGCGAAGGCCTCCTGACAACATGCTAATGCTGAGGTGGATTATGTTACTTTATTCGGATCTTCACCGATGCAGCCAACATTTTAACTTTAAATCTTTCTTGAGGGTGGGTAATGTAGCAGGAAGAAAGCAGGTTGAGAGAGAGGGAACCAGGAAGAGTTGGAAGTTATTTAGATAGTTCCAAAAGTTGTTTAAAAGCAAATATCAATGAGATCAGTTCTTTGTCCCAAAAGAGCTTGCAATCTAAACAGCTGATTGTACAGAAGGATTTGCAAAAGCAAACACTAGGGCTAAGCTAAACTACTAATTTAATTATACCGGTACGCCTAACGTGATCTGATCCCATGTGAGCACAGTTATTTGCTTTATCCAGGTATGGCTAATCCCATCTGAAAAGGGGACTGACTATACCAAGCATAAACTTTTAGATCGCTACTATACTGGGGCTGGTACTCAAGCAGCTAGTCGCCTCAACTAAAGCCCTGTGCAGGCCAGCCTTTACTCCCACCCAGCACTCTAGGGAATCCCGGAGGATCCCCCGGCGCGGGAGCGCGGGCTCTTCCCTCGAAGGCAGGGAAAAGCAAATGCTAAAACCTCGGCGTGCACGTGAGGAGTTGCGTCCATGACTTTAAACACGCCCAAACTAGCTCGGCAAACCTTTGTCTGCTCCGTGAGGGCAGGTGAACACCTGGCCCTGCAAACCTCCTGCCACGGGGG